AGCTGATATAGTGAGGATGTTTCATGGGAAATTTTGTAGCCCTTTTAACTCTGGAGCTCATATTGATGTCATACTTACGTATGAAGTCCGTCATCCATCACTGAAGGACCCTTCATATGAATGCCATGCTTTATTTTTTATTATATGCTCTAAAGCTTTATCAGTAAAGTGAAGATTACCTACTTAGCGTAGCTATTTGCTATTTAGATCACCGACGTCTTGGTTGAATGGCAAGAAGGACTATTGTTAAACGGCTACTGAAAACAGAAGAGAGGACGGATTCTTCAAGGACGAGGTACAAAACGTCTAATCGATGTTGCAAACCGGATGCTTGCCCTACAGCCGGTCAGCTTATGTCAACTAAAAGACTTGGCTTTGAATTTTTTAACAGAAGTTGCCTTGATGTGGCATCCTCAATGCTGGGCAAATTGATGGTCAGGAGGCTCAGTGATGAGACAGGTGCAGAGAAAGAACTTGTGGTTCGAGTGGTAGAGACTGAAGCATATTTGGGAGTAATCGATCGAGCATCCCATTCTTATAACGGAAGAAAGACGGCACGTAACACAGCCATGTTTATGAATCCTGGCACGGCTTATGTGTACAATATCTACGGCATGTACCAGTGCATCAACATCTCTACCCTGGAGGAAGGGTCGGCAGTTTTGATACGAGCGGCTGAGCCAATTGCCGGTTTAGACGAGATGATAAGGGCTCGCAGCACGAACCGCGCTCGTTCAAGTGCTCTGAAAACCAAAGACCTCTGCAGCGGTCCAAGCAAACTCTGCCAAGCACTGAGCATCACTAAGCAGGCGTTCGACCAACATGACCTGACTACGTCATTGAAGCTCTACTTGGCTGAAGACGGCTTTTCGACGACTACCGACGACATCGTTGCATGTCCAAGGATCGGCATCGAGTACGCCAGTGAATGGGCAAAGAAACCGTGGCGGTTCTACCTTAGAGAAAACCCATTTGTGAGCGTCAAACTTGTTCCACGTGTGCATACTGCGAAATGATATAATTGGTTTACTAATTTTCGAAGTTCAGATTTGTAATTCTTCATGTTTAGCTACATATGTCAATAAAAC